ACTGCCCCGGGAAAGGGGGCCGCTGGCGAAGTTAACCACCCTGTAACAACATACATACATACATACATACATACATACATACATACATACATACATACATACATACATACATACATACATACATACATACATACATACATACATACATACATACATACATACATACATACATACATACATACATACATACATACATACATACATACATACATACATACATACATACATACATACATAGATACATACATACATACATACATACATACATACATACATACATACATACATACATACACACATACATACATACATACACACTTACACACTTACATACACACATTCCCCCCGACTTCCCCAATGCAGTTTCCTGTTCGGGGTATTTGGTATCTTGGGCACTCAGCTGTTCAGCGGCAGGCTGTCAAGGTGTAACCAGGCAGTACTGCCGGACGGGTCGCCAGTGTACGACAAGTCACAGGTATGCTGGCGGAGGAGGAGGCGACCGGGGGAGGGAGGTGCCGGGCGCCAGGAGGGGGAGAGGGGACGGAGTGGAGGGGATGGGAGCGTTGTATGTGCGTGTATGTGTGTGTGTGAAATAAAATAAGGCGACGGGGGACCCGTGGGCTTGTGGGAAAACATACTTTTGAATGTTGGTGTTTCATTACTGGGAGTGTGGGGAGATCATCACTCCCCCTGTCGTACGACGTACTTGATCTCTAACCGCCGTTATTATGATGGTCGGGGGCTACCTGGAGCGAGTTGGAGCACTGGGTTGGGGGGAGGAGAGGTACGAGGATAACCTGCTGGTGTTGGGGGGTATTGGGACCGGGGAGGGGGAAACGTATTTTTTCATTGGCGTGTGTGCATGTGTGTATGTGTGTATGAATAAGAAGAAACCTTTTCCATGAGCCATGTGCGTACGGGTAAATTAAATGTCGTACTCCCCCGCTTCTCCCCATTCTGTTTGTGGTGGCGCACGTCTGCCCGCGCAGTGCATTCCAGGTGTGTTTGTGTGCTCCCCCGCGGACATCTGTTTCGACCCGGGCTCCCCCACCCCCCGGGCCTGGCTCACCCCCTTCCGCAACTTCGACCACATCGGGCGCTCCCTGCTCACCCTCTTCGTGGTGGCCACGTTGGACGGTTACATGGATGTACTGCAGCAGGTGGGTGCGCGGTTTCGTAGCAACAGATGTGCGTGTGTGTCTGTATGTATGTAAGTGTGTATGTCTCGTACCGCTATCAGACAGACAGACAGGCCGATAGACAGACTTAGGTACGCAGGGGAATGGGAACCCGGAGTCCTCGCCATGATACCCAACTGGCTACTGGATTGTATTTCGGTTGTATTTCGGTTTATTTCGGTTGTTTGGTCTTAAGGTTCTTAGAGTGCAACGCCTGAAACACGCAGCCCTCCCTCCCTCTCCCCTTCTGCTCCCCCCACCCCGCACAGGTCATTGACGGTGTTGGTCCGGACATTCAGCCCCGGTACAACCACTCCCCCGCGATGGGGCTGTACGTCATCGCCTTCGTGTTCCTCGGGTCGTTCTGGTTGAACCTGCTCGTGTCGGTGAGTGTGTGTCTGTCTGTCTCTCAGTCAGTCAGTCTGTCTGTCTGTCTGCCTCTCTGTCTCTGTGCATGTGTGTGCGTGCGTGTGGTCTTGCGCATTGGAGAGGGAGCGGGTGGGAAATAACTCCTGTGAAGTGGAAGGGGCCATTCATGCATTTGCAACCTTACCCCCCCCCCAGCGTAACGGCAATAGACACCCACTTGCCCCATTCCCCACACCTCTCTTTCCCCCTCGCCCCCTCAC